CGCTGAATATTAGAAGTGCTTTTTCATCTACTGTTTCAATTAATCTTAACATTGCTTATGCTGTACGTATTTTGGGATCACACTAGTTAAATCCTCTGATCTATGGAATATTGGATAGAAAAACCCTGTATTGGTATAATTGCCGGAGAATGTAACAAAAAGCAACAAATTTAACTGATTTTAGAGATCAAGAGGTAGTTATTAAATACTGTGTTTCCTTTTGAGGCTTTAATAGAGTTTAGTTCTGATTTGAAATGTAGCATTTTTGTATAAAATATTTTAAGAAATACATCTTCATACGTGCTTTGAATAGCTCAGGAATTTGAAGTGGGGGCTGCAACTTATATTTACTAAATTTCTTGCCTCCTACTTTGCATCAAGTTATGTTAAGATATATAAATCTAAGCAAAACTTTATCTGGTGGAAAAGGGAGGACGCAAAATTATTGGGCATGTGGAGGCTTGGAAAACTACTTTTGGGTTCTAAACCAAGCACAATCGAGATTGCATCAACAATTAAACAACATTTTATAGCAATATAAGCTATCAGCAAACCCTTTCATGCTGTTATTCATACTGCAAAATGTGCTTCAAAACGGACTGTTTAAAAACTTCTACAAACGAAACATCTTTAAGTTTTATTGCCTTACCGAAAATCTAGTTTTAACGAAATGTTCATACTTTTAATAAAGTCAATAACTATAAGAACGCAGCATAACAATATGATATGAATAAGCTCGTTCTCAAAAACCAAATCATTTATTTTAAAGCTTTCGATGACAGAAAGCAACGCTTCTTTAATTTTCATAGCCAACTTGCCATCATGTTCTTGACTTGATGAAAAAAAAGTAACAGCCGTGTTTCGCTCACACGATATATAACTACCATCATTGTTTATAAGAGTGAATATATGAGATAAGTCTCTCACGTTCTCAGTAAACTTTCGAAAATTTCTCAATATTTCACTATTTTTTTAAGGGTTGCATTACTAAACCATGCAAGCAAAACATGTCCACACATTGATTTTCAAATTTTTAAAAGTTAAACCTTTGGTTGAATATTTTATACTTTATACTATTGAACTATAACAGATGGAAGGCTACCTGTAATAGAAAAGCCTAATAATTTTTTGAAGCCAAATTTGACCTCCAGACACGCTTGTCTGCCTAGTAAGACTAGAAAAGTGATCACAAGAGTATTTCCAACAATGCCAAATACATATATTGCGACATGCAAAAATACAAATGCTGCCATTAAAATATGATATGATATATTATCTGCAAATATTCTAGAGTGGCCCTTTTTCTGTTTTTTATTTGCAATAAAGACCTGTGTGTTTTTCAATTTTTAAATAACAGTCAGCAGTATTCGCTTTTTTACTTCTGCAATATATATATTGTTGGATGGTGCTAAAAACGTACTTCAAACTTAACCAATTAAAAAACTTAAAAACGAAAACTGTGTTAATATATTCAATGAATAAGCAGAAAACTAATACAGCCATTACAGCTGTGTCAATACGTGCGTTCTCTTGAGCGAAACGAATACAAAAGTAATTTTGAAGTTGCCATTTTCTGCAGTGTTTTCACCATCGATTTCCACTGGTTGCCATATTGATTGACAATCGCATGTAGCAAAAAGGGTTTGTGTTTATTTTGTGCTGTGTAACGCAGATGCCCTTTGGAGAAACCTATTAACATGGTTGTTTAGGCCAATTTGAATTCAAATCAAATTGGATTTGAATCAAACAAAAAAATCTAATATACAGCCATCAAAGCATAGGCGTACCGGAACTATCATTTCTGGAATGGCTGTGAATAATTTTAACAATATAGGATCGGCCTTATTTCCCCCACCTAACGTTTAAAATTTGACCAACTTTTTAATATTCAAACTGTCTTTAGGATGGCAGCTGCCACCCTGCCCTCCTTTGCTTACGCCTATTCATTAGAGTTTACTCAATAAACGTGCTCTCAAATTTAAAATGCATTCGAAAACATTTGTAGATTTGCCATTTATAGAATGTTTTCACCAAGGATTTAGAACCCAGTCCCGTGAATCGTAGATGTGTAACTATTGAGGTGAAGCAAGTTTTTAACAGAATCTTCTTTCAATATTGAAGCGCTCACAAAAGTATTTCTAGGCTCACTATACCTAACTCGAGTGATGTAAATTGTAAGTCTTATTCCTTACAAGTACTCTCTTAAAAATTGTCGCGCAAGCAGCACATGTCTACATTGCTTTTCAAATTTGTCAGTCTTCACCGTTGGTTTATAACTATTTCATTTAAATGCATGAAAACACATTACTTCTATCAAGAATAGTTGAGTGACGACCCTGAAAACCATTTACAACACTACATCGGCATGAAAACAGCACTATATAGTGTATTCTCCATATCGGCAACCATTTACCAATGTTTGTCCTTTTTTATTCTTATTCTAAACACCAAATCCTTACGAATATTTCCTCTTCATTTTTTTGCTTGAATCAAACATTCCATTTATGTCAGGACTAAAGATTCCCATGCATTTCTAGAGCACACGCGATCATTGCGTCTATTGAAAATTTATGTTTATCAAAACATTAAAGCAAATGTTAATTGCATGTTTTTTTCGCTACGAATTTCATTCTAAATCCGTAGGATTGTTATTAAACGTCCAATTGCTACATAAACTTCTGTCATATATTGAATAATGTCTTTACCTATGGGGCTGATTACATGAGCCGGGTAGCCGCGATTCAGTCAAGCAATAAATGATTTTGGCAAATGGAAACGATTCAATACTCATTATCAGATGAATCTTCTCTGGCATTTTCACAATATTCTGGTTTGACAATTACACAAAACATTCAAAATTACAACAAGCAATTTGGCCTAATTTGAGAATTACAACAGAAAATAACTTGTGGTGCTTAATAAACAGTTTTCATTTTTACTCTTGAAGTTTTGACTCCTTTCAATATTTCGAAATCATTTCACGTCTCACTATAACTCGGTTAGCCGGAATCATGTAAACAGCCCTATGATGCATTTCGAAGAAAACAGATTACTTTTAAAAATGTTATCAATGTACATGATCATCTCCAACACGTTTAACAATTTATTGGTTGAGTATATTAAAGTTTCACGATGGTAACATGAGCTTATTATATATGTTTAATGATGAATTTTATTAGAGCAATTCTTAAATTTCTAAAAGCAAAAATGCTTAAAATCAGAATTGAACTGTTTTTACAGTTTTCAACATTATGCACGAAGTACCCTAATGCATGAATACGGCTAGATATTGGTATCTCAAATTACTTGAGTTTGTTAAACTTCATCTATTTTCTGCAGTATTGTACTTTTTTTTATTTTCTTCTAACCTTTCAAGGTTGCAAAGTTGAGGTTCAAATCCCGTCTGAGTAAGGTGCTGTTAGGATGTAGGATGACCCAAGAAACAGGAAAATAGTGCAGGTTAATAGTACGAAAGTAGAATTCTCTTGCTGTGTTATTCAAAAAATAGAACGTGACACTTGTATAATTTCAGAATAAACTCACTCTCCGATGAGGAAGAAGGAGGAGAGCGAAAAAAAATTATTGTCATCCATGCAAAAAACCACTCTTAAAACTCAAATTGTTCAAAATTCTCGAAAAACTCTTAAAATCTCAATTGTTCAAAATTTTTTATGACTCACTACGATCATAGAGAGTTAGTGAGTCATAAAAAATTCTTACCTCCATGCACTCGTTCTTACCTCCAGGCACTCGTTCCTCACTTTAACTTTCTGTCGTCCACATCCGCCTTGTACTTCTTTTTTTAGTTTGAAGGAAAACAAAACGAGTCAGTCTTGAACCTAAGAACGTGCAATCCTAAATGTACAATTAAATATTCAACATGCTTTAACTCGAAAATTGAGAAGTAAAAATACAAGATTTAAGCTCGAATGGTGATATCACAGCATGGCTAACTGTACCACTTAGCCACGTGAGGGACATGGAAACCCGACGACAACATAACAACTGTATGCGACAGAACAGCATTTATTGTCTTCCGAATCACACCACAGGCTCCCAATATATAGTACCTTTCACTTTTGCTTTTTCACCCTCGTTGCAAATATGGAGAAAGAGCCTTGCTTTTCGTCGCTATCAAAAGTTAACTTTGTTAGACACACCAAAAACAAAGACAAAGATGAATAAAGTATACACAATGTCAGGCATTGCCATGTGGTGATAACACATGTCGGGTTCTAATCTTGTCCTTTTATTTCTCATTTTTCGAGTAAAAATATGTAGAATACTGAATGTTATGGTGTAAGCATTGCACCGCCTCAGGTTCAAGACTGACTCGTTTTCTTACCCTTCAAACTATTAAAAAAATAGGTAAATACAACAAAAAACAGATAGCTTTCAATGTTGAGCACTTGGCTTGACTGACCATCACTGACCTCTGGTGCACAAGATCCTTGGTTCGCCCCTCTGCTGACACACTTAGGTGTACGAGGCGGATGTGGACGAAAGAAAGTCGAATTGAGGAACGAGGGCGTGGAGGTAAGAAAGGGAATGTTAGGGCGTTCTGTTTGCTCCTAAGTTTCCTGACTTTTCAAAATTTAAGAAAAATAGTTCCCTGATTACAGGGAGTCATAAGAAAATTTGATCAAAAGACATAGTTTTTTTAAGAGTGGTGTTTTGCAAGTATTATTATCTTTTTTTCCTTCGCTCTCCTCCTTCTTCCTCATCGGGGAGCGAGTTTTTTCTGAAATTATACCAAGTGTCGCATTTTCTCGAAAAGTACACTAATAGAAATGTCGTTTTTCTACTGTTAACCAGAACTATTTTCCCATTTCTCAGGTCATCCTATGTATAGCCTAACAACATCTTATTTTAGCCAGAGTTTGAACCTCCACTTTGCAACCTCAAAAGGTAGTGTTTTCTGACGAGACCAGAGAGTTCGTTGGGAATGGTTGTTTAATTTAATGTACCATTCCTACTTTGCAGTAATTAATGCTAAAAAAATGACCATCAAAGGTGTCGAACCAAGAGTATTTCAGAATTTTGAGGTAAAGGGTAATACAAAAAAGCAAAAAAATAATCGTCAAATTAAGACATATAAAGATTGCAAGCATGGTATAAATAGTATACATTAATATTCTATTGGTCTTATATACATCAGCATTACACATAAATTCACTAGCCCATGATAAGTTTTATCGAAAGACATAAAGACAAGTTTGTCTGTACAAATCTTTCATTATCAGCACGCTTTCATACAATCATACAATGAAGATTTCTTTCAGCTGCCTCTTCAATGTCATTTTAATTAATCCAATTCCAATTTTTGTTATTAAATATAAGGATAACTTATTTCGGGCTTCCCGTTCATGATTCATTCTTTAAACCAACAAGCTAGCTGATAGCTTCTTTGAACTTTGTTCATATTTTGCAGTGTGTTCCTTATGATTGTATTTCATATTTTATATACCCTCCATTTCAATAAAATTGTTTAACACACATAGAGCATATCAACCATAGGTTTATACATTTTCATCATGACATTATATTTGAAGACTCGGCGAAATTCATCTGTAATTCCTGTGAATAGAAATAAGCTGTCATAAGGAAGGACTGTATTTACTCATGAAGGCGTTCTACGATGTCTAGTCTTTTGCGTTACACTTGCATTCAATGTGATGTTTATATCTAAATATCATAGCCATTAAATAATAAGATATATGGTACAATTTATCCAATGTTAAAGGATATTTCTTGTTGTAATTCTGCTTTGAATTTTCATAAGTTGTGTGCAATCTTCATTACGAATCATTTCCAGTCATCCGTTAATTGTTCGTCAACCTCAAATCGCCCTGGAAAAGGTTTTTCATCCAAACTTCTTTCTGCAAGTGTTTCTTTTGTGTCCACCTTCATGTCTACAATTATGTCTATCTTTTAGCTACTTTTCTGTCTACACTTATGCATAACTTTTTTTGTACCTTTTTGTATACCTTTATGTCTATCTCTGTCTACCTTGGTGTCTGCCTTAATGTCCATCTTTATGTCTATCTTTTTGTCTACCTTTGGGTGTACCTTTATGTCTAACTTTGTGTCTATCTTTATGTCTACCTTTTTGACTACCTTTTTGTCTACCTTTATGTCTACCTTTATGTCTATCTTTATGTTTACATTCAAGTCTAACTTTGTGTTACCCATTGACACGGCCCAATTGCTGGCAACAAATTTTCCTATCTACAATTAACTACAAACAATTTACTAAAGGAAAATTAGAGTGAAGGAGATACAGTTTCTCTATTCGAGAAACGGATTCAATTTTTCAGTCAGTTTAATGAAAGCTTGTTAACTATACGAAATTTCTCCAAAAAAATTTTGAATTGTTTGGTAATAATGAACGGCAAGCCATTCCAAGGCATTCTTTTGTTAGTGCAGATAGAGTGTCTTGATTGTATCGAAAGTTTTAACTTATGAGCAATATAGGCTGTAAAAAAGTAGGTGGCCCTTGCAGGGGCGGATTGAAACTACGTCACATTCAGCACGCGACGTAGTTAAATTCTTCACAGCAGCGGAAAAAATTAATCAAATTTTAAATGCCCCTAGTTAAAAAAAATAAAAACAATTTGCCGCGTGTGGAATGAAGTTCGTTTTGTCGAAAGGATCAAGAGCATTTTTCTATTCGTCTTTTGCAGGTTCGAGTCTCGTCTCGGTATGGTATAGTTTGTTTCGTTGTGTGAATAATGATCATGAATTCTTTATCCGAAAATAAATTAAATCTTTTGTGTCCTCACAACGAAAGCATTAGAAAAATAAACATATTGTCAGGGTTAGGGATAGTATTATGAGAAAATTGTGCAACAACGTGCATTCACTGAGCAATGTTATTGTTTGTTTTTATAGAGAAAAGGTGAGAGGTATGGAAATTCATGAAATTGAAAAACTTGTGAAGAATGTATTCGTACCTGATGAATGCTATGAATTTCCTAAAACTGTTGATGCAAATGGTTGCAGTAGGTCCTTTCGACATGATTGGCTGAAGGATTATCTTTGGCTTTCGTATTCTCCAAGTCTTAATGGTGCTTTTTGCATACCATGTGTTTTGTTTGGTGATAGGGTTTCCCTCCAAAACAGTCGAATTAAAATATTTTTTTCAGAGCCATTAACACATTGGCCTGATGCTAAAAGTGCAATAAAAAGGCATATAAGTACATCATCAGGTCTTCATGTTCACACTTCTGCTCTTCTTAAGGATATCTTGGATCAGAGTTCTGGTAAAAGCCAGCCAATAAATGTCATGATTGACAGTAACAAAGATTTCAGAGAATAGGAAAAAATTAGTTCCAGTAGTTGATACCATCATTCTTGCAGGTCGCCTTCAATTACCACTTAGAGGTCATCGGGATGATCTCAGTATCATCCTGAAGTTGGTGAATATTCTGAAAAGCATGTTGGTAATTTTTTTGAATTATTAAACTTCCATGTTCGTGCAGGGACACCATTTTGGAGACCCATCTTAAGCATCATGATAAAAATGCCTCCTACAATTCTAAAACTACTCAGAATGAGTTAATTAGGTGTTGTGGTCAATTCATCACTGAGCAGCTTCTAGTTGAAGTAAAGAAGAGCAAGTTTTATGCATTGATTGCAGACGAAACATGTGATATTTCTAATAAAGAACAAATGTCTTTGGTTTTGCGTTTTGTTGACGAGGAGTTCAACATAAGAGAAGAATTTTTTCGTTTCATTCATTGTAGTGAGGGTATGTCTGGGAAGGACCTTGCATCTGTGATTTTGAAATGTTTAAACGAAGAGTTGAATTTGAACATTCAGGACTGTCGTGGGCTGGGGTATGATGGCGCAGGTGCTGTTGCTGGATGCATTAATGGTCTTGCTGCAAGGATTAAGAATTTGAATGAGAAAGCCATTTACACACATTGTTTCAGTCACAGATTAAATCTTAGTATTTGTGGGATTTGCGCTGTTCAGTATGTAAGGAATGTTTTGGAACATGTGAAGGAAGTTGCTAACTTTTCAACTCTTCCCAATGCAGACAACTAATTTTGGAGAAATGCATTAGAGAACACTGTCCAGATTCTGCAAAAAAGAGATTGAAAAGTGCTTGTAAGACAAGATGGGTCGAGCGTATTACTAGCTTAGATACTTTTGAAGAACTGTATGTTGCTATTGTTTTTTCCTTGGAAGAAATGAGTTTTAACGTCGAAGGCAAGTGTAATCGTGAGACCTCTAGTAAAGCTTCCCTCTGTTACATCTTTTGACATCTTTTGATTTTATTGCAGCACTCGTAATAACTAGATGTATTTTTGATCTTACTCTTCCAGTTACTCAGTTACTTCAGTCTTCTAGTAAGGATATTGCTGACGGTTTGAACTTGATTGAGGCATTAAAAAAATTGTCGAGAAATGTAAGAAATGAAGTCGATGTTTATCGTGCTAACTGGTACAGTATTGCATTGACGATGGCAGAAAAGGTGGGTGTTGAAGAGAAAAAACCTAGAACTTGTGGTCGTCAGGCAATTAGAAGTAATGTTCCGTCTGAATCTGTATCTGATTACTTTAAGAAAACAATAACCATTCCTTTAGCTGATCACTTGTGTTCTGAGTTAGAAAAACGGTTTGATTCATCAGCAACTAGCATATATTATGGCTTGTTTTTAATTCCATCCAAGTTACTTTTGTGTCTTTCTTGTGGCGTTTCTTGGAAGGAAAAATTTTATTCATTTTCTTCTTTGTTCTTGGATGATCTTCCAAATCCAAAGGCTTTAGATGGTGAACTTGATCTCTGGCGGAAATACTGGGAATCGTCTTCTACAACTTGTCTTCCTGAAAATGTCTCTTCTACTTTAAAGTCGGTAAGTTTTCCAGGTTTTGAGAACATAAAAGTATTGTTAAAGATCTTAGGTACTATTCCAGTCACTTCTTGTGAGTGTGAGAGGTCATTCTCTGCTTTGCGAAGATTAAAGAACTGTACAAGAAGTACTATGGCTGCTGACAGGTTAAATGGTCTTGCTTTATTGTATATTCATCAGGACATTAATCTAGATATAGAAAAATTATAGATCTTTTGCAAAGACAAAGAAGAATTGAACTAGCTTTCTAGTTCGGAGCGAAAGTTCTTCATGCCTTTTTTAAACTTTTCACTGTAAAGATGACTGCCGCTAACTTCAGTCAATATAAACACAAACAATCGTTCTCAGGACTTTACATACCTGGACGATAGACATCTACAAACATTTTTTTGCTTTTTTTTATTGACAACTTCATTCGATAAATTGACATAAAATCGTTTGCATAATAATCAGCATATAGGTATGACTAGACCATTATAAAATGAAATTCCATATTGATGAAGCGTAAAGAATTTTTTAGGCTAAGTTTGTAATGAACCAGGCCGTCCATGTCGGAAGCCCTCAAAGCATATTTTTCTGCAAGTTTCCTAGGCATGCTGATGAGCTCTGATATTGAGCGAAACGGTCAAAAATCGATAATTTATGAGCAAGAATGTTAGCTCATTCCAGTAATAAATATTTTAGAAGACCAACTGCAAAAACGCACGAAATAGCGTTTCTCGCAATCCAATTTTAAAATTTACCGGGGGGGGGGAATGTTCCTGGACCCCCCTAGAAAAGTCGCGCTAACGGTGGGACATTGTTCCTAAGTTCATATACGAAGCTGGATCCGCCCCTGGTAGCCAGTAGCAATATTTTGCTACAGCAAATAGTTGACAGTTGTGGCTTTAAATTTTTTCAACAAATTATGTTTCAAACAAAATATTGATTTTTTTAGTTAGTGCATGGACCCTTATAGCATAGACCTTATTAGTAGCCACCCCCCCCCCAAAAAAAAACCCGATCACGTTCTTTTCTTAACAACAGAATGTTACTTCAGCATGTGATTGTAGGGAGGGTAGGTATTGCGTAGAGAATATTTAAAGCTCACGGCAAGAATGCGTGTTATGTAATATGATTACGGTAGGCGTGCAACATGACAAGAGTGTTCGATCTGTAGAATGGCTTACGTGTTCTGCAAAATGGTAACAGTGCTCAGTAACGTAGATCAATAATTTTGAGTTTTATATTATTTCAATCCAAACATGTATTCGGTTTCATTTCTCATTCACCTCTCATAGACTTAGATCATAGTTTGGATCGGAAATGCAAGTGAAGTTTGGCCAAAGAAAGGCAACTTCAACTTGGGTTAGTGGGTACAAATGGTACCTTAGCGTAGAGGATGCAAATAGCAACTGTAAGAAGACATTAAAAGAATGGATCTAGCAAGGCCTATTGAAGACAAAGGGAGGGTTGTAGTTTTCATGGAAAGAAAAATATTTCTCTCCTAGTAACGTAAAAGCATGTTGTCATTTTAAATTGCCAATTTCATGAACGGTTTTTTCCAGTGACTAGGAGAGGCATTCCTGAATCCCCTATTTCATGAGTAGTTCAACCCATCTTGTTTGGAAGTCACCCGTTGGTGCTACATAAACTAGGTTAGGTTAAGTTAAGGGCATGATTGGTTACCTACTTTAAGGAGCATTCCATTTCAGGGCAAAAATCAGGTGTCATGCCCATGTAGGATGTTTAGATAGCTTAAGCGTGCGCTGTAGTTGCGGATGGTAGTTTCTACGCTCAGATAACGAGCGTGTGGTCTGTACCTTCATGAATATGAGGAGCAACGCCACGTTCAACAGAAATGACTAATTTCTTTAGAATGCTTGAAAGAAACGTATAATATTTCAGTCAGTTAATTCAGAATGACAAATTAAAGCTTTATTAAAGTATTCAGTTTGTTAGGACTTTTACAGTTGAGACGTGGCGTGGCAATTACTGTAAATGTGCAAATAGGTACTAAGTTATCTTCTTAAGATAGATAGCTTCATTCCTTGGATTTTCAGTGCAGAAGGCCAATTTTCGCAAGTGACAAAAAATTAAACAATAAGGCACTAGGTCTAAGGACGTGGAATGTCTTTCTAAAAACCTAAAAGAAAATATATAATTTTAATGAATTTACAATTTTTATTTTCTTGATGACTATTATGAAGACAAACCGCAGACGTTGTCACACTCTTTACTAAATAGTTACACGAAGGTTTCCATGTTCACCAAGTCGGTTGCTATCCAGGTGAATTACGTGATAATCGTCAAAGTAAAAGTATGACTTAAAATGCTTTCGCTTGTGTGGTTGCGTCACTTCATCGCGGTACAAATTGTTTTTTGACATTTGCAGTCAAAAAGCATTAAATTTTCGCATATTAAGTAAAAATGATCTGCTTCTCAATTTATGTCATACAACTAAAACAATTCATGTCATACAGCAAGAGCATGCTTGAATTTAAAGCGTTAGTGACACCAGGCACGCAAAGCATGCACTGAATGAAACAGTGGAAAATAGGGACGATAAGGTGCAATTGTTTTTTATGTGGATAGGATAAGCTAAGCCCACGTTTATGGAATTCTCGTGAATTACACAATTTTCTCGAAAAATATTTTATTCAATATTTTCATATACAACTCTTTTAATAAAAAACTTACTATTTTTTGGGTTCTTTGACAAATAATTATAAAATGACTTTTTTAACGTTTATAACTTATTTGTTTCTATATGATTATTTTCTTTAAAAATTATTTTTTAGTTAAAGTCTTAATAAAAAACTTTTAAATTTTTAATTTATTGCTTTCATAGACAACCTAGTTTTTACAAAAACATTCTTGTTTTTTAGTACGTCTGGAAAAAGTGCTAAAGTATACATTTTAATTTTAGTAGCTTATTTTATACATTTATGATTAATTAGTTTACAAAAAGAAGTTTTTGCACAAAACATCCAAATATCATTTGTTATTAATTTTTCTTACATTTATATTATATATTAGCGATTTTTAATAAAAATTATATAGTTTTATTTTATTTGGCAAAATGTTGTTAAAGTAACAATTTTATTTATAAATCCTTATTTTGTGCGTAAATATCTAGTTTTGACTCAAAGTAAGTTTATAGATAGAAATTTGAAATTATTTTTTTTCATTCTTATTACAATTCTATGATAAACAACACATTTTAAATAAAAGTTAATAGTTTTAAGTTCATTGCAAAATAGTCTAATATAACTATTTTAACATTAATACCATATCTTGTTTTACTTTCTTTGCAAATTTTGCAAATTTTTTAGAAAAAAAGTTTTTTCACACAAACCTAAGTTATGTTTTTTTAGATTTTCATATTATTGCTAACATATAAAAGGAAACTTTTTCAAATTTATTATTAAATATTTATTTGCTGCTTATATGTCTAATTTTAACTAAAATTAAATTTATGTAGACAACGTTTAAATTTCGTTTTTTATATCTTTATGTGATTCTGTTATATTGGTGCTTACATTGTCTAATTGTGACTGAAATTAATTTTGTTCACACAAAAGGAGCATTAAATGATAAAATAGTAACTTTAACAATTTTTTCAGAAAATATAACTTTAGGCAAAAATTTTTTTTTGAACATATTAATCATATTAGTACAAAGTGAGCTAGTACGTTAAAATAATTATTTTAACACATTTTGCAAACCTACTGAAACAAATTTATTTTTGTATAAAATAAGTGGTATATGATAGCAATAAAATAAAAACTAAAAAAGTATGTTTGGAATTTTTTAGACAAAACCTAATTTTTACACAAATTAGTCATGTAAAAACAAACTAATATATTATTGTTAAAATAGTGAAATCATGATGGTAACTTCGGTAAATTGTATTTGACAGTTCTGTTTGTTGATGTGTGTGTAAAAGTCATAAATCTCGTCTGCATGTAATGCTGTGATTGTGTCATCTACGTAGCGTAACCAAAAAGGTAGTGCATGTTTGTAAGTCGTAAGCGCCCGTTCCTCTATAAATTGCATTACAATTTCAGCAACTACAACAGAAACGGGTGAGCCCATTGCTGTTCTATGTAATTATTTGTAATGTTGTACCTTTGTACTGGAAGTAAGTCGAGGTAAGGCAGAGCTCCAGTAGATCCATAATGTCTTCTGTCGGTAATGACAGTACGTCCGAGGTGTTTGTAATGAGGGTTTTTATACAAGTAAGTGCCAGATTAAGTGGAATACTGGTGAACAGCGATTTCACATTAAAAGACACTAGTATATGGTTGTCCGGTGTTTGAATAGTGCACAGTTTTTTAATGAAAGTCTCAGTGGATTGTAGCTTGTGTTTTGATATGTTTGTAAGTAGTTGCAGTATGTAAGTCAAGTACTTTGAAAGTTCGTAAGTAGGCGAACCACAGAATTATACAATTAGTCGCATGGGTATTTGTGGTTTGTGAAGTTTTGGTAGTCCGTATAGTCTAGGTGGTCGTAATACTGAACATCTGAGTCGATAGTAAAAACGTTCAGATATAATGTTAAATTTTCTCATAGATAAGATCTTGCTGATAAGTTTGCGCATATGTGATGGTGTTGGGTTTCGTTTGAGTTGTTCGTACGTTTGTCTGTCGTTAAAAAGGGTGTCCATTTTATTAAAGTAATCATTCCTTTCAATGACAACAGTCACAAGTCATTTGTCTGCTTGTAAAACGACGATGTTGTTGTCGCGTTTTAGTCGTTTGAGTGCATGTTGTTCGTCCTTTGTCAAGTACCACACGTTCCACTGGACATATATAAAAGTACTTGCACGCGCACAAACTAAGCACGCACGAGAATTTAAAGATTCTTGGTACAGTTACCAACAATGACATAATAAACAGACATATTAAAATACCAATCATATATTCACAAATAATTTCATTTTAAGACGTTCACTAATTTTGCGTAATGTAAAGCTCACACTTATAGGTTTAAGCGCTCTGGTGACTTTATATAGCAATCCATAAAATGTGTAATTGCACATACTTTGTCCCAAATGCTGGAGTCGCGATTTTAGTGTTAGGGCTTATGGTAATACACTGTACATAAATAGCATACTTAACGTATTTGCTGTGTCCCAAGTGCAGGAGTCACTTTTGCAATGTGTTGATAGCCAGCAGGTTAAATTGTATATACACTTTGTATATTATGCTCACTACGCGTGCGTAGTTTGAGCAATCTAGGGTTGTGTAGAGAGTCTCATATGGAGACGTTCACCATGTTTGCGATATGCAAAGCTCACCTTTATAGGTTTAAGCACTTTAGTGACTCTACAATACCTTCTATATAATGTGTTAACGTTTGTCCTGTGTCTTAAGTGCAGGAGTCACCATACTTATAGTGATAACCGGGAGGGCACATTGTATATACACTTTGTATAACAGAATTAATATGTATATAATTTTCTTTTCTTACAAAAAAACGTAAAAAATATAGGAAAATATGTCAAAAAGGCTGCAATCGTTAGAATACGGGAATATATATAAAAAAGGAAGGAAAAGATTTAGAAAAATAAATAGAATAGCTAGATTAGTATTAAAAGAAATAGTTCCAGCTAAAACTAGTGGAATTGTCAATAAATTACTTTAATAAAAAGCGATAAAGGTAATAATTTTTGGGGGAGAAAAATACTGGTAAATAGCATCAATATATCTTTACACTTAAAATTATGATATTTATAATCTTTATAACATATAATTTTTGTAACTTAGTCATCATTTCATTTTCGTAAAAAGATTTCGTGAAACTATGTTAGGTGCATTTTTTGATAAAACGATTACATCTGCAACAAAAATTTCCGTGAAACAATTGCATATATATATATACAATCCATACAATGTGTAACTGTACGTCCTGTGTCCCAAGTGCAGGTGTCACCATTTTAATATGGTGATAGCCGGGAGGGCACATTGTATATACACTTTGTATATATATATATATATTTTATTCAATATTTGAATACTAAATGTAAGTGTTCAGTATTATCAAAAGAAATACATCGAAGTATACGAATTGTTGCACACAAAAGCTTTGAGAAAGTCGTATTTTCTTTCTTCTTCTTTCAAATGGTACCATAGTGAATAAATTAAGTCACTGGTAGTGGGTATAAGAATAAAAAAGGGAAACCGAGAGACAATAAGTTAAAGGTATACGTATATTTTATTTTAAACATGCAATATTATATTTATAATAGCATATTTATTTATACATATTGTGTAGTTAGAGTTCATATCAACCTTAGGCTCATAAATATTATAGGAAAAAATGCAATCACGTTTACCAATATTGTCCAATACAACAAAAAATATAACATTCATTTCCATAATACTTAAGAATTATTTTATTTTTTTTGTTTTTTGATTTTTTTATCATTTGAATTTCTTAAATCATTATCATATTCATGGTTATCATCATCAATTGTGTGGCGCTTTACTTCTTTATTTTAAAAAGAAGCATTCACTCTATTCGATAAGTCTAAAATTGTGCATTTTCTTAAGTTCACTCCATACTTACAAATTTCAGTTTGTTTAATATGTTTCTTTCTTTAATTTGATGATTTTCGTATCTTTTTCGAATAAAATGAAAAAATTCAGCTTTGTTATAGTCCAACATTAACTTTGCACAATGAATTTTACACAATGGATAAATCCTTTACACTTTTGAAACTTACTATTACACAGCTCTATTAACATGCTCATAAATCGTTTTTAAAAATATGGCATTTTTCCCGACTAAAAAAGACAAAATAAATAGAATGATAATTTGTGGATTTATATACATATTTTATTAAGACGAAAATTTCGTTCCATTTTACTTTCAGAATAAATTCCTTCCATAGCCATGTTGAAATTAGTGTAGGTGCTTGATGAATGTTTTTACAAAAAAACTTTATAATGTATTCCCATCTTCCATATAAGTTTACATCACAATGATATAAATATTCATTTCATTGTTTCCTTAAATTTTTTCTTTACCTTGTTTTCACTACCATGATTGAAATCATCGTTAAGGTCTTCTTGCCATGTAATTATAAAGTTTTTCCATTTCGCACAATGTGGTAAAAGCAACAATAAATACAAAAAAAAATTTAACCTAATCTTAAAAGCTCTACTCCCTCACAGAATAGATATCTTAACAGAAGGTCCACCGGTGTTGGAGACTTTGATGTTCATGTCCTCCACATTTCTGAAACAAATTCTAAAGGAGACACGCCTTCCAGCAAGATGCTTCAGCTAGATTGCAATAAAGAACAATTACATAAATAATACAAAGTTTATATAAAAGTAATATGCTACAATCATATAAATATATAAATATGGATAAATTATAACAATAATAACGAAATGAGATAGTTTAATGGGGAGCGTGTTACGAACTAAATATTGTGTTGAATCAAAAAACTTAAACATTGATGGCAGGGTTAGTTTTGTGTTAGTTTGCGGATTGCTTCTTTGATTATGAGGAAGAATGAGGTGACTGCTGTGTCGATAATTTTTGAGCAAAAGGGCGAAGAGTTGTTTTTGTATAAGTGACATTTAGGAAGGTGTCAGTAGATATAAGGGTTTTTGTCTTTTGTGGTATGTTCCTTGATTTTAAATTAATACAAGCATGGATTTAATTGAATCAGGGATTGGGTCTTTGAATTAAAAAAGGTTTTTGATTTTTATTAATGCAAAAATAAATCGAATTTCTAAAGAAGCGTTTTATAATGTGGGTAAGTAGGCGATGTGTATGTCGTGAGTAATGTCTGATGTATGGTTGTTTAAAGTATAGACTTGTTATTTTGGAATTTTCGTTTATATTGGTCGTGATCGTCGTATTAGGAGTTTGGTGTCCAAGTTAAGGTTCTTGCTATGTTTGTTGTAGAGATATCGTTTTACGGTTCTGTTGATTAAGTGTAGTTGGAGGAGTTTCGTAAAAGAGTGAATGTGGTGTTTTTTTTAATGTCTCGGTAAAAGCCATTGTTTGTATTGTTAGATTTGTATGCTATTTCGATGAGTCAAGGTATAAGTCAGGTTTTACTATAGATTTTATTTAAATCTATAAAACAATGAGTAAAGTCAACAACAGCAAAACAGTCCTTTTCAGGACTATACAAACCTGGACGATCGACATTTACAAACATGTATTAACAGTTTGTTGAACACTATAGTGAGTCTAAATGCTCGCGCCGAGTTTCTTTTACTGTCTAGTATAGAGCTGGAGAAAATCATCAAACCAAGTTTTTTGGTATGCTTGGCTGACTTGGCAAATATAAAACATCATTACCAGCTGCACTGACCGATAATTTTCAATTAGCTATATTTTCTTTGCTTATCAATAAGCAACTTAATTTATATCATTTATGCAAACAAGAGTGTTTGAAACAACAAACTTTGAGTGCATCTGTTCTCAGAAAAAATCTGCAAACTTATCAACAGACGAAGAGAGATGATTTCAATAAAGATAAAAAATATTTAATTTAAACATGGTGATTAAGCGTTCTATGTTTAATAATACAAAGTTGAAAAATGTACGTTTTTGTTTATTAATTAACAAGATCTCTAAATGCAAGGAAGCGTTCTATCCATGGCGTTTGATTTTATCTTAAAATAAAGCTCACAAAAGAATAACTTCATAATTAATACTTTTAGATCCATGGAAGTCTTTTGCTTAAACTTAGCATACTTGTAATAACAGTTTTAGAAAACAAAATGAACAGGTATCTTTGAAATTATTTACCGTCTGTTAAAAAAATTTATGTACAAAGTTTATGACACAATAAGCTTCTTTTGTCTTTTGCCAGTTACGATTGTTAAGTCCCTTGAAGCTATAATGCTCTGAGTTTATGAATTACAAGCTAAACTCGGTTGATTGAGAAATGACTTAGACTATGACTTCTTGCGGTGTTCGTACGAATGGAAAGTGGAGTACCGCTAGAGGAAACTCGCCACAATTTTGGCAAGTTTTTACAACAGAGAGTAGCCTTGAATGCCTTTCGAAAGTTCTTGCTGAGAAAGCAATAAATGACAGGATTAAAGGCGCAACTCAAAAATGCCAATAACAAAGCTGGATACCACACGAAGCTAAAAAAATCAAAACAGATATGTTTTATATTGCAATAGAATTCTTAGATCAAACTTACAGGTATTTCCTTACACCTTTGCTCATCATTAGAGAACATATTGGATGTTTTGAAAAAATTTCCAATATCATAAACTATACGGAACTTAATGGCCGAGGAGTAATAACCTACACTTCGAAGTTTTCGATCAACGACGACGTTTTCACGAGCTGTACCATTCATACAAGCACAGAAAGTGAATAAAGTAGTTTTTTAATTATATACCAATTTTCTAAGCTCATTTCCCCCCTCCACATTTTAATGGTCGAAAGTGAGTCACGTGAGTTTAAAGAATTTAAACTGTTTAATCAAAAGTAGCTCGAGAGGGATTAAACACGTCATCGACCAGTAGATGATACAACTAGGGATCCAAGGATAGTGCAAAGTTTCTTTGAAAAAATGTTCCTAAACAAGGCAAATAAAATTATTTTACAGAAAACTTATTATTTCACCCTGGCGTTTCAAAAAATGCTAAACTGAAGTTTATTTCGAGAAGTGCTTATGCAAGGTTAAGCAGTTTGTTTTATGACGAATAGCTACAACTTGCTTCAAATTTGCGTAAATAAACGTTAATTTCGTATGCGTACTACATAATAAGATTATTGACACGCCACAATTATACCATCGTCAATCATGCGCCACATTCTTTTATTATTACTATACAGTATACAACTTATAAAGAACAAAATCACTCATGTTTATCTTTCTTGAAATCAGTTTTGTTGTTTTTTTTTGTTCTTCTGACACATATGAAATGCTCATGTGTTCAGAAGGACAAAACTGATACTTTGTTTGTGTTATTTTTAGCGGAAAATTCCACCTAATTAAATAATAAGGCGAGTGGTAAAATGCAACGAGTGGTAAAATGCAACGATTTTCGATAAATATGCACTTTGTTCCTGCACAATTTGCATCAGTTCATAAACAAGTCCATTTTTCTGCAAGTTTGCGTGAGAACATTCATTTCGTATTTGCACTTTAATAGCGATTACCAGATAGTGGACGATGTCATAAAGATGACTTTCTTATATTGTCTTAAAGATCTTAACAACTAATGCTTTCTTCGAGGACAATGAAAATGTACTTTATTTCTTGTAAAATGTTCCTTAATTAGGCAGATGTGTGCTTTCAATTTTACGGTCGTATGTTTAAAACAAATTCACTAACACGTAGTGTGTGAGTGTAGTTAGCTCAGAATTTCAGAGCAGATTGCTAAAAAAATAGAATCAGCGAAGTACTTGACAAATACGGTGAATACCAATATTTTCATATTCCATATAAACTCAAGCTTGTAAAATATTAAAATATTTGTCAACAGTGCCAGCATTAACGAAAAGCGTTATAGTTAAAGCAAATTTTCTTTGATTTTCTATTTGATATTCTATTTTCCTTACTTCACTCTTGCCACACAATTCATTATACATTTAGCACAAAAATGGCGCATGCGCATTTAGATATTTCTTTAAAGAAATAGAGCTGTTGGGGGTAAAACGGGAAGATACATTGGTACAATGAATCAAATTCAATATACAAAGTGTATAACAATGTGCTTTCCTGGCTATCACCAAATATCCCGGCTATGACCTTTTGCACTCGGAACACAGGATGCACGGTTATAGTGATATTGAAAAAAATTACAAAAACTAAAATTTCATCCCGTCAACCCTGTTTCGTGATTGCTCACTCTTCAGGGGATTTAATGATGAATAGTTACAAATTACATAGAGTGCTTTGAATATATGTTGACAAGAGGAAACAAGTTCGTTGCATTTATTGAGAGATGATTTGGACGATTGGTAGAGGATGAAGAATTTTTCATTGAGGCAAAGGTTGCATCTTTTACTGGTGTTGTTTTATTGTTTGCAATGTGTGATGATGTTCCATGGGATGTCGTGGTCAATGTTACTGTCTTCAAGGGTCCATATGAGCTAATTAAGTTGGTCGAGTTTTTAAGTTTTTTTGTGGCTAAAAGAGGCAGTTTGATTTCTATGTCTACTCTTAAACTCCTTTTCTGTAAGTCCAATGTACGTCTCAGTTGTGTTATTGCCCCTACGTTTTACAGTTGCTTGGTAGATGACGAGTCATTGAAGGCAGTTTCCGTTAAGTTAGCAGGTTTTTTTTGCCTATTTGACAGTTAAATAAATGTCTTGGTTAATAAGAGTTTAAGTTGGTGTTAAATGCTCTTTTAATAAACGCTAAAAATCTGATAATAAATCTCTAGAAAATCCTTAGACATAAGATGAGAGTTTTTGTTAGACACCCCCTGGAAAGTTTACACCATGACTGACTGACTGAGTGACTTGTGTGAATTTTTGCAACTCACCCCAGTACTTCAAAGTTCCTATGGAAACTGTTCCTATGCACTAAAAATGACATTTGCTATCATTTGCATATAAATTTAAAAATTTAAGTAGATGCATGGTATGCAAAAAAAGCTGTCTTTACTTAGAGAGTAGGAAATCCATTTTGGTCTTGTTCCACCATCGTGGAAAAAAACCTGCTAAGAGCTATAGTGAGTGCAATTTTCTTGTACTATCCTCTTTTGTTTCAAAACAAACTGGGATGGTTGGCATAGATTTATCTTAAGTAAACGCCTTTTTTAGCTAATGCTAAGATTAAGACCAACAAATGTCCCAGGGTCAAACGTGTTTTCTTTCGTATCAATAGAAATATTTCGATTCAATTCATTTTCAGCAGATTCTGAGATGCCTTCGCCTTTGTTAGGTTCATTTGAATTGACAAAGCTGTCAAATTCAGGGCATTCACTAACATAATCATTGTTTTTGATTGATTTGAAAGTATGCTCAACTTGATCGTTTAGATCTATCTAATCAGATTTTTCTTGCGCATGCACTTCTTTAAGGTCTTCACTTATGCTTGGCGATACCCTGAGCTTAATTCTAACTCCTCTGTTATTTGTGACAAAATAAATGGTGGGTAATTTTGTATAGGTTTAAAGTAATCAAGCAAAACTCCCCGAAGTTTTGAAAATTCTTCTTGTCTAGCTTTCTTTAATCTTCAATACTCAGCACCTGACTATTTTCTCTTCGTGGTGTTGAAAGAATTAGACATTGCAGTTAGTCTTTAACATTGCACCATGATCCATGATGTACATTAAATAACATTAAAATAGATTTCCCAATAATAGAATAAGTGTAAATATTCATATATTTAGGTCATGTTAAATTCAATAGAAATCACCAGGGCAAAGCTGAATATTAGAATATTAACCCCCATCCAATTAGCGTTCTAGTTTCTCCACTAAATGTATGTTTTCTACAAACATCGTGAAAAATCTTGCAGGCGTTGTTGCCACAAACGAAACATCTAATTCTAGAATGCTTGTCAGTATCTTATTCTTTAATCGACCCCCTGACAAGGTTTTATTTTGGTCTGTCTACTTCATTTCTCCCTAATTCCTAAAAATAACTTCATTCACTGAATATATAACTGTGAAAACAACTGTTCTGTTTTAAATGCGTTTTTAATTTTTTATAACCCATATTTAAAACTTGATGACTCGTATTCAATTCAGCGCCCCCAAAATCAACAGCCAGAGGGGCCCTGGCTCCCCTGCCACCCTGCTACCACGCCACTCATCCATCCGCCATTAAATGCAGTGAATGAAGTTATTTTTAGGGAATTAGGGAGAAAGGAAGTAGACAGACCAAAATAAAACCTTGTCAGGGGGTCGATTAAAGAATAAGATACTGACTATATAATATTTATCTGATAAAAACGGTTTTCATTTAAAATAGCAATGAATGTTATGTTAAATTTGTGAGGATGTCTCTATAATCGTCGAAGGTAAAGCACCGGAAGCGGTTATACTTATGCTCGCTTGAGCTTGCCGTCGGCTTTCCGAGCGCATGACATTTATAAAGCAGTGCATTGTAATATTTTAAGGAACAAACATTACAGTTTGCGAAAGACATAGACCAATAGGTGCATTAGGTCCCATTCCGCTTTGTTTAATGTATTGTGTAATCAGTCGTATAAAAAAAATCAATTCTATGCTCATAATTACTGTATGTATAGTTTATGTAAATGGATGCTAATGTGCCATGATAAAGGAATGCAACATGGAATTCAAGTTTGTATGTGTATAAAAGTGATTCCTTGCTGAAAACAAATGAGTAACATTAACTCAGAAGAAATCAAATAATATACTTATACACAAACGCGGGAAGACTGAGAAATATATATATGACACCATATAATTGTTGGTGTTAATGGATGTGTTGATCTTGTGCTGGTTGGCAACAAATTAAACAAGATAAAGGTAACATCCTTTAAGCTCCAGTTAATATGATTTAATTGGTTATTGGCTGAGTTCTAACTTTCACGTCAACTGCGACATATACATGTAAAGACCAATAATTTAAATGAAGCAATTGCTTTGCTATCGCTTGCCTTTCGCAAACAAATTTGGTAAAAAGAACTTTGAAAAACAGTTCTTCCAATTATTCCTTATTAATTATTTGCATATTATACATACATACAGTGCTAATTCTTGCATGTTATTCTATAAATTAACTTAGTTATATGAAAATTTTAAAATAAGAGGTGATACAATTACTTTGTCTGTATTAAGTGACAAAATATACAAGATAATGCAGTTCAATGCTCATCATATAAATCGTATGTTTTAAAAATTACTGTGCTTATGTCCATTTGGTATTGTGTCGCTTATAACAGATAATAATTGATTGAAAACACCCAATAGTAAATTGCAAAAGGTACTTTTTGCCTACGTGGTGCGAGAGGCATCAACTACCTTGCGATAGAAACTCCTAGCTTATAATCTCCCTATGCTTTAATTCTATGTTTTAATTAAACTATACGCAGTGAAAACGTATGTTATTCTTTTTTCTTAATATAAATATCAAAGCCCAGCAAAGTGCTTTTAAAAGAGCCATTAAATGCAAAAGTAACATATAAAAAGAAATATTTGTTTAGAAG